CAGTGTGAAGCATGACAATATGAGAGTCATCAGTCTTCTGAATCAACCCACGGCTGTCATGTGATCCGGTTAGTGGAAATGACACCAGCTGATGAAGGCCGTCCTGACGTGTGTGTGCGTGCGTGTGTGTGTGTGCGTGCGTGTGTGTGTGTGTGTGTGTGTGTGTGTGTGTGTCCATGTCCAGTGATCAGTCTGTCTGCTGACTATCACCGAGCTCCAGAGACTAAATATGCTATTTATTGTACATCGTGATTTCAAAATCAATTCTGAGTTTGCATGTGGCCAAATATTAAAATTGAATGGATTTAAACATCGTTTAATCACGCTGTAAAGTGAAACGTCACCAGGCCGTTGGCGCCCTATGCAGGTGTTTGTTATAATACATAATGTACTTAAGTTGGTTATGTTCATATGTGTAGGCATATTACATTATGTATTTTAACAGTGTTGTTCAATAAAACCATGTAATTACTTGGTTTTGATACTTTATTTGAGCCAATTACTATTACCTCATCATTAGTTTATATATAAATAGTCATACTAAAGCCTGGTTTTCACTTAGGTCTATTTGTGTTACTAAAAAATATCAGATTACTCAGTTATATAATACAAAATAATCAGTAGATTACTTGATTACCAAAATAATCATTAGTTACAGCCCTAGATTAGTTAAAATATTTCAAAATACAACTACGTAGATCAATACGTAGATCAATCAACACATCATATTCTAGTAAGGGATCCATGGTATGATTCACTGAAGAAGGCTTACTGCCAAAACGTTTGATTGTTCTCTGCTGCAAATTTAAAATAAATTGAAAAGTGTTTAAGAAGATTAGACAGACAGAGAGACAGGGAGTGCGGATCCCTTACTAGAATATGAAGAGTTGATTGATCTACGCACCCTAGACTAAAGTTGAGCGCAGTGAACTTTATTTTTTCATGAATTTTGAACCAACAGTTTGAATAAGAAAAGCAATAACTTTGCCATAGTATCCTTTCAAATGTTAAAGTTGCCACAGTCGTTGCATGAAAAAAGTTCAGGCTCAGGATTTTTTTTTGCTTTAACCCCTGCAAATGTGTACGCTTTTGACGTTGATCGCTTTATATAAACCACTTTGGAATATAAATCGCAGCATGTTTCAGATGATTAAAAATAAATTATAATCCGGAAAACAGCAGAAGAACCAAAACCCAAATACACATTGACTAAGCAAATAAATATAGCTAATAAATAATAGGATAAAAGCAACGAACCATTTCCATGTTTTACCCTCAAAATTACTTTTTATTGACTTTCTGTGTCCCACTCTCTCCTACAAACACACACATACAAGTCAAGCCAAGTCACCTTTATTTATACAGCGCTTTTAACAATACAGATTGCATCAAAGCACCTTTACAGTATTAAATAGGAAAATAGTGTCAATAATGCAAAAGGACAATAGTAAACTCTCAATTTTTAGTTAAAGGCAGTTCATCATTGAATCCAGAGATGTTATGATCCAGCCCAGTTCAGTTTAAATAGTATCTGTGCAATCTGTACAGACACACGGACACGAGCACAAGTGGAACAAACAAACAACTAACCTGCAACTTTATCAGTAAAACAGTTTTGCAACTGAAAAACTACATGACATTTCTCAATAACGCCGCTGTTTTTGAAGTAGTTAAACTTACGGATTCGCTTTTGTTAGAGATGCTGGTGCCAAATAATGTTAAGAGACAAACATGCAGTACTCTGGTAATTTACACACGTTTAATACATCTCTCTCTCTCATAACTGCATTAGTCTGCATATTAAAAGCTGACGCCTCTGTTACTAGCATTAAAATAAAATGACCATTTATAACAACTCTGTAACAAGTTCCATGGATTATGATTCATTTTTGTTTGCTGTTTTGGGGTGGTAATATTCTATATTAGGCTATATATTATTGGGCAAGGGGGACCCAAACATTTATTTTGCCTATGTCACAGTGAGAGGTTAATCTGACCCTCACGATATTACTGAGTGCATTCTAATTCTGACTGAATATAACTGTATGACCGACGTAACTGTTATATAAGGCATTGCAGGCTACCACGGCATCTATTGGATTTTGCTGATGTTGGATCAAGGGCTGGATGAAAGTGCCCGGCGGGCCGTATATGGCCTGTGGGCCGTAGTTTTCCCTCCTCTGGTGTAGACCATAAATCTCCAGAGTGATCATCAGATCAGCTAAGATCACTCGTCTGACTGTGAGGTTTTGTAGGCCAGTGTGAAGCATGACAATATGAGAGTCATCAGTCTTCTGAATCAACCCACGGCTGTCATGTGATCCGGTTAGTGGAAATGACACCAGCTGATGAAGGCCGTCCTGACGTGTGTGTGTGTGTGTGTGTGTGTGTGTGTGTGTGTGTGTGTCCAGTGATCAGTCTGTCTGCTGACTATCAGCGAGCTCCAGAGACTCTTAAAACACAGTTCAGCTGCACACTCTCCAGCATGAAAAGGGCTTTG